TTCTTGAGCAACAGATTCTCCACCCTTTTTCGAACCCAACTCCTATACAGGTATTTTTTTGCTTTTTTTTAATTGTGAGCAATATAAGAGGTTTAAATGATATGTATGTAGTCGATTTAAGCATGAGAGCGGTCACAAGTGCGGGCATTGCGGCGGCGCGGCCACCGACGCCCATAAGATGCATCAATAGTCAAAATCACTGCATATCTTCCTTTGCTTCGCATTTCCCAAACGTTGGGCTCATGCGGCCGTAACTCCTGCACATGTAAATGTTATCTTATTCTAACAACCAATTGAACATTGAATTTTCTTCTATTCACTAATATGGTGGCTTTTAATCTTTTATCGACCTTACACCTAGTAGCGGTTCGGTAGTAGCTAAGAGTTCTTAAATTTGCAAAAGGAAGGATATAACAGAATTGTTTTACTAAAGTAGGTTGCGCTTATAGAGTAGTCTACTATTTTCAAACCTAAAAGTATCAGAATGTCAAATTGCGATTAGAACGGCAGCGCGGTTGTCGACGCTAATGAGCGTAAGCAAGCAATCGATACAGCCATTTACCACACATTTCTATCTTCCACAGCTCATGGCTTTCTTTAAATAGCGGTGCCGATGTTTTTTTTTCAGACATCACCTCCTGAAGTTGGAAGGCCAAAGAAAGACAGACTACCAGAAACTGCCGAAGAAAGAGCCGATCTGGTCGAACCATCACTGCCACCCACACACCAGCAATTAGGGGCACTATATCGCCCTCCACCGTTCCCAGCCCTCACCTCTGCGCTCCAGAATTTCCAGGCACAGGGTTAGGGAAAAGATGCGTGGAATCCACGCATACAATGAAAGTCAATTTATCTTCATCACGCTTCCACACTACCGGTCATTGTCTATATCATACCCGTATCTGGCTAAATGCTGCTATCGTTCTCTAAGTCAACTACTGGAGAATTAGCATCATGCACAATATGTGTTGTTCTAATTAATTTTATTAATTCTGCTACTTGCATTCACGATGGTCCTTTAATATGGTCTGTGTTCATAAATACTGATGCATTTTTGTTTTTGTTATTTATGATCGTACACAAATCTGTGACTTGCTTGAACGACTCTAAGGCTCCGTCCATAGCTGACGATTGGTAGCCATAGCTTGCGATGGTTTCTACGCATAAGGTGCGTATTGATTACCGCGGTATGACGCGGCTTCCGCTGGCGTCTGACGCCATCGCGAATGTGACCCACCATAGCTGACGATGCCGGCGTCAGCGAAACTCGCTGGTAGTCTCTCTAAATGGGGTTCTCGCGGCGTCAAGCGGCGATTTTGACGCGCTTTTTGCAATCTTTGACAGTTTTTTTTTAAAATTATTAATAAAAGAATTGAGAAAGGATGAAGAAACAGTTTGCTACGAGCCAGAATTGTGGTAATCAGAATAGGTCCTGACAATTGTGGAAATTATCTCTGGTCATGAGTGATTATTTTTAATTTGTTGAAATAGGAGAATCCATAATGAAACAAAAGAATGCAGAATATGAATGGTATCCCTCTTATACAGTTTGACCTTATACCGCGATACCTCTTCATTGACTGCAGTTGCCTGCCGCAAGCCTCCAGGATGTAGACATTACTGCTAACCATTGGGTCAAGCTTACACTACATTTGTTAATTCAAAAGTCAACCGATCAACCTTTTGCTCGTCAGTGATGTTTAGTTTCAAAGCCATGAACAATTTCGTGATATTGAAATTTTGTTATAAAATTTCTTCTTAGATGTAAGTAGGGATCACTGTGTTTCTAACAAACCCTTTAAACATGTACTTAACACTTTAGTGTGAAGATTTTCAAGTCAAACTCGTACCCGAAATGCACCCATTTTGACGCCAGAGGAAGCCAAGAGGTCGGCGATTGCCAGCGCCCGCCATACCTCCCATCGTCAGCTATTAATGGAGCCTTACATCTAAAGAAATTTTACAACAAAATTTATCAATATATATTGTGCTTAGCTCTGAAACTACAAACGAAACCACTGACGAGCAAAAGGTTGATAAGTTGACATTTGAATTAACAAGTGTGGTGCAACTTTGATCCAGTAGTTAGTGGTATGTCTACATCCTGGAGGCTGGCTTCAGACAGCTGCAATTAATAAAGAGGTGTCGCAGTATAAGGTCACTATTAGAAGGATACCATTCATAATCTGTATTCTTTTGCTTCAATTCCCCTATTTCAACAAATTATAAATAATCGTTCATGACTAAAGATAATTTCCACAACTGTCACCGTGGAACCTATTTTAATTACCACAATTTGGTGACTGGTAGCAAAATAAATTTTCAAATTTTCCTCAATTCATCTATTAACCGAAAGAAAACTGTTAAAGTTGCCAAA